ATAGTGAACACTTGAGTAAGTGCGCTATCATTTTAAAAAAAATAATAACAAAAATCTAATATGTCCCTAGGTAGTGTACCTTGTGAAAGTTTTTTACAATATTAACTATACGGAAAAGTGTTCAAAATATCCTTAAACTATTGAAAAAGGTTTAAAAATACACTTCATCCACCTGTTGGGCTAAAATACCACTCCATCTACCTTTTTGGTTCACTTATGCTCTTTGACCGTTAGGTCAATGCTGAATTAAAAATAATTATTATTCTTTTTGTAAAACTTTAAAAAAAATATTTCACAAAATATTTTCATTTTCTTAAACTAATGCACCGGTAGTCCACTAATTTAGTAAAGTATTCTTCTTCTTCTTTTTCTTTCTTCAGTTTTTACAAACAAAAGAAAATTCATTTTTTTCAGTTTTTTAAAGCATTTTTTTTCTAAAAACTGAAGAAAAATTGTAAAAATAGAAAAAAATGTTTTTAATAAAATATTTTCGATTTTTAATAACTGAAAAAAATATTTTCGTTTTTGAAGTTTTTTTTCTTTTCATTTTTTGTATTTTTTTAAGACAACGAAAATATTTTTTCTTGTAAAAAAAACTGAAAAACGAAAATAAAAAGAAATGTTTTTAAAAAAACTGAGAAAAATAATTTCAAAAACGAAAATATTTTGTTGAAAAAATTTTTTTTTCTGTTTTTTTTCTAGTTTTTACAAAAAAAAATTCTTTAAAAAAAACTGAAAAAAAATATTTTTTTTGTAAAAATTGAATCGTATTTTGTAAAAACTGAAAAAAGAAGAAGAAGACTTTACTAAATTAGTGAACTATTGGTGCATTAGTTTAAAAAAACGAAAATATTTTGCAAAATATTTTTTTTAAGCTTTGCAAAAAGAATAATATTTATTTTTAATTTAGCATTGACCTAACGGTTAAAGTGCACAAGTGAACCAAAAAAGTGGATGGAGGGGTATTTCTAGCCCAATAGGTGGATGAAGGGTATTTTTAAACCTTTTCCAATAGTTTTGGGGGCATTTTGAACCCTTTTCCGTTAACTATATAATAAGCCAAGGTTCTTTTGTCGTCCTCATGGCATTTACGTAAATAAAATTCAAAGTGAGGGTGAAACACACTTCATTCTTCACTCTTTTTCTAACTCTTTTCTTTCTGGTTCTCCAGGTGTTAATGTAGACAGACCCTTCGTGTTCTTCTTTAGTTACTTTATTTTGCTTTCTTCTTCACCTTCTCTCTACTCTCTCTCTCTAGTGAGTATTCTTCTACCTCTTTCCTTTTTTTTCTTCTCCTTTTCTACTGGCTTTTTGTGTTATTTGCTTTTCTTGTTCTTTTAAGTATTATTGGTGACTTCGATTTTGTTTGCTACGGAAAAATTGGAAAATGGACTTGCTAATTTAGCTGATTCATCTATTTGGGCGTGAACACAATCAGACCCATATCTTGGCTTGGCAAACATTGGATGGTATGCGATTTGAGTCTCCTCTATCACATGCAACAGGTTCTTTTGCATGGTATCTTTCTCTCTCTTTTTTGTTGTTGTTGATAACAATGTGTGGTATCCTTCTTTGCCCCATCAGAAACGCAGATTGATCCTCGCTAATGCAATTGGTCCTTGTGGACATTGTTTGGTCAAAATTCATTGTCATTTCGTGTGAATTCAGCTCATAGAAAGGCATCAATGGAAAATAAAAGTTATTTATTTATTCATTCAGTTTTGTTGGTAAAACCATTGTAGTATTTTTCTAATTACTGAGTCTTCCTCGGTTGTGGCGGTTTTGCTATCAGATTGCTCCTTAAAATATCGTCATTACATACCAACATGGAGCTTTTGTACGGTGCATAAGGAGGGCTGTTTTATCCAAAATGGTTTTCAGCACGTGTACTTTTTGGACCTCGCGTTCTGAATCTTCTCTTCTTTCTTCGTATTAATATTTCTAGAATCACGTGTTGCAGTTTCCCAGAGTGCTCTTTCTCCCTCTCTTACATCCTCTTCTTCCTGGCTTCTGATTTTTTTTACCTGAAATTTTTCCTCTGCCCTCTTCGAATGATATAGAAATTTATGATGGCTATTCTAGAACTACCTGTTCTTTAGCTCTTTTCTTAATTGATGCATGTCTAAATTTCTTGGTTCTCTTAAGATTGCGTCAAAGGAAATTCTCTGAGAGGTCGTGATGTTTTAGAGATCAAGGCGGTCTGCAATGAGGTAATGTTTCGGAGATTTTGCCCTTTCTTTATCCTTCTCCATGACGACTGGCACCACTAGAAAAGAATAAATTTATTGAAGGCAAATTGTGGAATTTCTTGAGTTCTTTAGCTATTCTTTTAAACTGATTGTGCACATGCTTTTTTTCATTGACTGTTTTATGTCAATTTGGTGCCAATCGGCGGTACTAAAAGAAACTCAATCATAATATAAATGCTATGTGAACAAAATATTCAAAGGTCAGTAATGCAGTTATGTTCTTTCAATTATTTTGGTTGGCTTTTATAGTTATCTTTTGCATTGGTGGTAAGATGAGCTCAAATGACACGAAAGTGTACATCAATCATAAGAGGCTTGGCCATTGGCCTAACACTTGTGGAATTTAATCAAAATTTTTTTACCGCACTGACACATTGTTGTTTCTTTTAAGGCATAGCCTAAGTAGTATTCTTGTTTCCTAGAAAGTTCTATTAGCGTTGTCTATAATTCTGTTAGCCTGGACTATTAGATCAGTAAATCATGGTTGACTAGGAATATGTATGTGAACTTATTTAGACTGGTTTTGGCTATTACTGGATTGAAGGTCATGGAAAAGGGATCTTGGAACATTAGCATCTTTTGGCCTAGTGTCAAGCAATTTGCCAATATGACAAAAAGTAAATAAATGATCATGGATTTGAAGAAGCCCTGATTAGGTGATTTTGCTAAATGTCAAGAGTTATGTGTTAGACTTTATTTGCCACACATATTGGTTAAGATGAATTATTAGACTGATTTGGCTATTGCCTTCTTAAAGTTAATGTTCCATCTGTTGAACCAGATGATGTTAGGGGTGTAATTGATTAAATTATAGTTTCAACTGTGAAGAAATTCATATTTAGATCAAATTAAATTCAACTATTGCCCTTTTGGTTATGTAAGTGGTTTCTTAACTGATTCTGCACATGCGTCTTCTGTTTTTAATATTTAATGTCAAACTTTTTTGGTATAAACTTGGCAAAAGATGTCATGGTAGAAGCCAATGGGGATATTCATCAATCTACCCTTCTTATTTGGGATTTTTTTCCCACCTGGAAAATAAAAGGCATAGTTTAATAAACGGTAGGCACTTGAAAGTATGGTATAGGAGGGAAAGGAATTTTATTTCACTAGACTCATTATAGAGGTCGTCTCACCACCAAAGGATGTAGTGCAGTGGATGAGACTGCTCCTCCCTTAACCAGCGCAAATATGGTATATAGTAGGACTCCAATACGGATACCGGAGTTTGCACTTTGCACAAGAAGAGATGACATAGTGCTTGTAAGAAGTATCTTTAAAGTGCAAAATTTTCACTGAGCTTTCTTTTGCTAAGTTATTTTCAAAAAAAAAAAAAAAGGACTGTTGGAAAGTGCCAAGACACTTCTTAAAATTCTTTCTCGAGAAATGCTCAAAATTTTCAAAAAATAAACTACAATATTCAAACACATATATTTTACCCAAATTTTTCGTAAGAAGTGTTAGTATGAACGCGCCGAACCAAGGATTAGTTAGGGTTTATTTCATGTGAAAAGTTTTTCCAGAATCCAAATACTGGCAAAATTTAGAAACTATTTTTACAACTAGACATAGACATTATTAGAAAAATGGAGAAGTCGTTTTTCATTTCTCAGCAATTTTTGAGCGCTGAGGTTCAATTTGTACATTAGCTTTGACTGTTGGCAGAGGCGGATCCAGGAATCGAAGGTTGCGGGTACCACTACTTTATGCATATAGTATATCCAGGGGCGAATATACATGACACCAAGTGGTGTCACATGACATTGCTTCCCCAAAAACTTTTACTAAATATATAAATAATAAATAAAATAAAAATATTGGATATAAATACAAAAATTGATGTTGTCACTACAGTTATTTATTCATTTGTTCACTTCTTCAGATGTTGACACCATTTATGAAAATTGATGCGTCCGCCCCTAAGTATTACCTATAACTAGCTACATGACCGAATTGGAAGAAAGGGTCGGTTCGGTTAGTTTATGGTTAACTCGAATAGGTCTTTCATTCACAAAGCAAATAAGTTCGATTTTCATTTTTATTCCTGAAAGAGTGTCTCCAATCAAATTTTTGGCTTAAAGAATAGCTTAATACTACATATTCTTTGTTTGACTAGATTAATTTACCTTTATCATTCTTGGGTTATTTTTGTACATGTTAATTGTCGAGTTATATGATAATATTTTTAAAGCGAAACCTTTAACGTTCAACCTATAATAATCAACTCAAAATGACTATTAATGAAGTTAGTTTTTTCAAAAGCCAATAAGAAAGACGGTTCCAATTATATTCTAATATTTAAATTAATATTGTGTCATAAAAAAAAGAAGAAGACATTATATGCTAACTAACTTGGAAAAAATTATTCATGAATTAAGGTATAATAATAGAAAGCAGAAACAAAATAAAGACTGCTATACTAAAGTTTAAAAAATAAAGAAGAAGAGAGAAACTGAACCCCCATTCACGAGGTCAATGACAGCTTTCAGAAAGGACACTGAACCACTGACACCCACGTCGAGTTTGTTAATTTTGGGCGCCATTGCTTTAATATATCCGTTATTTCATAGATATATTACATAGTAAAAATTTTAGCTAAGCGAGCGGGTGACGTGCCACGCCGATCTCATAAAGTAGATCCGCCCTGACTGTTGGAAGTTCTAGTGGCTACTGCACCACAGGCAGCATTTTGTTTTTTCTATTTCTTTTGTCACGAATTTTGGCTGTCGTTTCCATTTTTATTTAAAAATAAAAAATAAAAATCCAGAAGCTTAACCGAGGACCAAGCTCATTGCGGGAGCTGCCGTCAAACTCCCAATATCACCACCATCTCCCATCAAATTATCATTAACAACTTCACCATCTTCTCCTTCTCCAATTTGTCACTCATTGCCTTTCCCTTTGCTTCTACGCAGAAACCCCAAATTGACCATCTGCCATGCCAAGGTCCATTAACTTTTTTCAATCAAATAATCAATCATTTAATTTGGTTCGAGTTCATTTAATTTGTTTTTTTTTCTGGTTTTCTCGGTGTTTAGTTTGGTGGATCGTTTGGAGAAGCAGCAGAGAGGATGTACCGAATGAATTTTGAAGGAGATGAATTGGTAGAGGAAGAGGATGAAGAAGATAGCGATGAGGAAGAGGAGACAGAGAGCAGTATCGATTTGCTAATGAGGTTAGTGGGGAGCATGTTCAAGAAGGTTTCAAAGCGTGCTAGGAAAGCTACTCGTTCTATACTGCCGGACGTCATTCCTCCACAGCTTGTAATTCTTCAAACTCCCTCTTTTCTAGTATACTCATAAATCTCAACAATTAAGCATATAAATTAACATGTTGGAGCCCCACGGCTTTAAGTTAGAATGTAGTGTTTGGGTTCATCTGAACCCATTAGCTTTGGCCCCGGACTCTATATATTTGTTAAAAAAACGCACTAAATAGATACAAATTATTGATTTCGAACCTAGTAAATCAAATGAGTTGTGGTAGAATCCCGAAACTTGAACCCATAAAGTTCAAATCATGGATCAACCTCTAGAATGCAGAGTGTCACTAATCGTTTTTGACATGGGTTTGGACTTTGTCATGCGTGCGTGTGTGTATTTCAACTATATATGTAGTTTGAGTTCAAAGAATGCATCTGTGCGCCCCTAACAAATAGGATATTTTATATGAGAATTGGTTTCTAAAAGACTTTGTTGCTGAAATAAGTGTCCTTTCGTACGCATAAGTTTAATGCTATAGCTGAAGTTATCTGCCTGGAACTAGAATGTATGTTTCTTGTACCTTGACTGTGCTAGGATGTTGAAAAACTAAGCATTTTTATGGTTAGTTGTAGATGTATGATGGTCGTTAGTTCCGATTGAAGGATAAACTTTCTTTTCTTTGTATGTGGAGGGAGGTAAAAGGGCAATGGTGTCAATTCTCAAGTAGCTCGTCAAAGCGATAGGAGTAAACATGTTGTTGCCACTATATCATGGTGGCTTCAGTTATATAGATTCGTTTTGAACATCCTCTATTCCTCTGTCAAGTTTCAGTTCATTCTCATACTTGTGGACAGAAGAGCAGAGGAGGTCGTGATGTTTTAGAGATCAAGGCGGTCTGCAATGAGGTATTGTTCCGGAGATTTTGCCCTTTCTCCATCCTTCTCCATGACGACTGGCCCCAATAGAAAAAAATGAATTTATTGAAGGCAATTGTGGAATTTCTTGAGTTCTTTAGCTATTCTTTTAAACTGATTGTGCACATGCTTCTTTTCATTGACTGTTTTATGTCAATTTGGTGCCAATCGGCGGTACTAAAAGAAACTCAATCAGAATATAAATGCTATGTGAACAAAATATTCAAAGGTCAGTAATGCAGTTATGTTCTTTCAATTATTTTGATTGGCTTTTATAGTTATCTTCTGCATTGGTGGTAAGATGAGCTCAAATGACACGAAAGTGTACATCAATCATAAGAGGCTTGACCATTGGCCTAACACTTGTGGAATTTAATCAAATATCTTTTACCGCACTGACACATTGTTGTTTCTTTTAAGGCATAGCCTAAGTAGTATTCTTGTTTCCTAGAAAGTTCTATTAGCGTTGTCTATGATTATGTTAGCCTGGACTATTAGATCAGTAAATCATGGTTGACTAGGAATATGTATGTGAACTTATTTAGACTGGTTTTGGCTATTACTGGATTGAAGGTCATGGAAAAGGGATCTTGGAACATTAGCATCTTTTGGCCTAGTGTCAAGCAATTTGCCAATATGACAAAAAGTAAATAAATGATCATGGATTTGAAGAAGCCCTGATTAGGTGATTTTGCTAAATGTCAAGAGTTATGTGTTAGACTTTATTTGCCACACATATTGGTTAAGATGAATTATTAGACTGATTTGGCTATTGCCTTCTTAAAGTTAATGTTCCATCTGCTGAACCAGATGATGTTAGAGGTGTAATTGATTTAATTATAGTTTCAACTGTGAAGAAATTCATATTTAGATCAAATTAAATTCAACTATTGCCCTTTTGGTTATGTAAGTAGTTTCTTAACTGATTCTGCACATGCGTGTTCTGTTTTTAATATTTAATGTCAAATTTTTTTGGTATAAACTTGGCAAAAGGTGTCATGGTAGAAGCAATGTTTTAAAAGGCGGGGGCGTGAGGCGAGGCGTTTTACTTCTGACGAGGCGAGGCGTAAGCCCTGAGACAGGGGCGTAAGTCCCACGGATCTTTAAATTTTACTAATTTCAAGAATTTTAAGATAGTATAAAATAAAAAATAATTATAAAAATTGCATCAAAATCACAAAATTATAACAAATAATCTATTTAAAATATTTACAAATTATAATTCGACTATGAATAATACGAAAAGTATGACATATATCATAATATGCAAATTAGTTGCAATGTCGTTACTCGTTACAACTCAAACATCAAAAGTAATGTATCCGATATGAAATCTTATACTGTATGTATCTCTTAAGGAGTAATAAATCTTGAAAGAATTTCAATATTATTATTTAATATTTTACTTAAAATACTACTTTTATTTAATATGCTTTCTATTCGAAAGAGAATTTATATAAAAACATAATTCATAATTTAAATATGATTCTCTAGCATCATCTATTTTTAAGTTTCAACAAGTTAATAAACTAACACATAATTCACCATACAATATCATGATAACTATTATATAGTAAAGACAGTATAAAAGCTAATAAATAAATACTTTTGAAATGAAAGATTTATTTAAAATTTACTATCATAGCAGTCTTAGCGGATAACGTGCAATAATTTTTATTTTAGTTATGACATAAAATACTCTCAACTTAATGATTTATGATCAAGAAAGAAGTAATTTTGAATAGTCAACGATTCGTTAAGAAAATTTGAGGGTTTACAAGGTTAGTTGCATACAATTGCATAAAGTTCTATTAGGCGAGCCCAGTACCCTGGGCGTTGGGCGTGTCCGGGGTGTAAGCCCCGGTGGCCGAGGCGTAAGTCTCACGGAACTAAGCCCCACACATAAGCCCAGGGGCGTTTTACGAGTGCTCCGCCCCGGGGCGAGCCCCGGGCGAGTCCCAATTCTGCCTTTTAAAACAGAGGGTAGAAGCCAATGGGGATATTCATCAGTCTACCCTTCTTATCTGGGATTTTTTTCCCACCTGAAAAATAAAAGGCATAGGATAAGATCCAGAAGAGCAGTTGGTAAACTTCTCCTTTTTTTGGAAATATTTGATTTAAAATGCTTTGCTTGTCAAAATGTGTAGTCTTAGTTCAGATCTTGCCTTAAACTCATTTCCGTCAAGTTCCTTACAGTGTAGATGATAGAATATTTTGGCATGGGGTAATTACATAGTTATCCTTCTCAATCTTTTATGTGAAGCTCTGAATGCATATACTCTTGCCATAAATCTAACTTCTAAGGGTATTTCTTCTGTTTAGAACCGTGAATCACTTATTTTAAACTAATGTACGTAGTAAATAATAGGATGAAGATTTTTGGGAGAGTACAACTGCAATTGTCATGTGCTTTCTGTTAAATGCATTAACACGAAGGCATTTCAAGATCATTTTTCGTTGAGTTTGCTTTGGTTATAGCTACATTTGGAGTATGCCTGTTTGAGTGTATAGTGGTCTACAACCAACAGAAGCATTAATGGCAGAGATAAAATCAATCATACTTCACAATGTCGCACATTTGCAATCAAGATCCTTTAAAGGGGATATGGCCGCTTCGCTATTTGTTGCATTTCTGGTTAATATTTAAGGCGAAAAAGCTGTCACTACATCGTAAATTCTTTTTAATGTGCAAAAAGTTGTCGCTATGTCGAGAATTGTTAAGTACTTAGTTGATGAATTACCATTATTTTCCTTTCTACTTAGTTTTCCTTTTTTATATGCAGAGGTTGTTTATGTTCATTTCTATTTAATTGTAAATGAATTAGGATTCAAATATATCAACACCCACAATAACTCATACCTATCAATTTACTGATAAGGCTTCGATGTTATGATTGAAGTTAAAATGTTAAGACTTTTTATTTAAGATGTTCCTTTGGGGACAGCCAATAAAATTAGATATTCCATCTAAAACTATTATATATTGGAGAATCTGCTCTCTTAACTCAAATAGGGTAGTAGTAGTTTCAATGTATTGCGGCGAGTTAGGAGGGTAGAGTAGAATCATAGGATTTAGGCTGACGTGTTAGAAGATTTTTAATTTCTGAGCACAAAGAAGTACCCGAAATTCCAACCGTCCTCTCCTTTTCAACGGAATAGGGCATATGTTCCATTGATCAACTTGCTTGGTGTAGCTCTCTAATCACATTCTCTTTACTCTACTTTTATTGTTTAGAAGATACTGGTACATTACTGAATGTTCTAGAGTATATTGTGTTAGTTATTTGCTAGGGGAATCTGTTAGAAATTGTCTCTTTGGTCAGTCAGCGAAGATATAGTACTTGACAGCTCATATGGTACTTTAGAGATGAAGAAGAAGCTTAATTGCTCCCAATGCTTTAATAAGTGGAAATTAGAGCAAAAATAAGTTAATTTCAAAGATGTTAAAAGAATATGAGGAGATGATGATGCATCGTGGTATCGAAGTGGAGGATTTTAAGGAAATTTATAAGGATATAGTCATTGCAAAAGAACATTCAATTCTACATGAACTTGGTGTTTAAAAAACTGGAAACTAAATATCTGGTAAACCTCATGTTTGTAGATATGCTGCACCAGTAGTGAAGTGTAATTGCACGTCCTATGATTTAAGATATAATCTAATTCTCTTTCTAAATCTGTTTGTAAGAATAGGAATTACCATTGTTGATCATAAAGTATTTGGCGGAGTCTTTACCTTAGCCTGCTTGAAATAATACGGACTTATGGTAAATGTAAATTCAACATTTGTGATGATATTGAACTGTGGTCTCATAAAAAATCATCTTATTATATCCTCCCCTCGATTAGTATTCGTTTATGTTGTCAAAAACATGTTGCTTTTACTGGGGTGTGAAATAAGGATTAAATATTTTAGTCAAGAAAGAAGGAGAAGGTATGAGACTGCAACAACTTTATCTGATATTAATTCTTGTTTTTAGCAGGGAATAAAGGTACATCCATTTGACGTGATGTGCTCGTCTCTTACCAGAGTTTTGCATCCTTCTTCCCACAACAAGACATAATGAAGGTGGAAAATATCCTGAATCAGACTACCACCATGTGTCAGCATGCCTAGGTATGGCTAAATCTTCTATTGTCTGCCGAATTTTTCATTAAATTTTCCATTCCGAAGAGCAACATATGTAGGGGTAACATGAGAACCTACTTAAGTCTTTAAATCAATTTTTTCTGTTCTTTAACTTTACCTTTTTCTTTATAGCTCTAAAGTCGTGTAAATTATTTTCTGCCAAGCGACTAAATCATATACATGCCTCCTGGGCCGTATTTAAAAATATTTTTGGTATTTTTCTTTGCAGCAACATTTAGATAAAATGGAGGATTCATATTTTATTTATTTCAACTTACAAAAGTTATATTTTTTTTAGCTTTGTGATTTATGCATTCTCAGTTTGCTATTGTTCTTTACCAAAAAAGAATATTCTACAATTATTGTTCTTAAGAAGAACTTATATTTGCATGAGCTTATTCAAAAGTAAAAAAATTATGTAGATTGACAGATAAAAAATCAGGATTATGATTGAGGCGTGAGATGCAAATAGAAGAAGAATTAATATGTATCAATATTTTGAATTAATTAGATATAGCAAAAGTTTTTAGACTATTGAATTATTATGTTATCCTAACAGTAAAGATTCTTTTGCAAGGTAAAGCTGTAAAGTAGCTTTAGTTGATTATATGCCGCAATTTTATAACTATTTGCTTATAAAGTGTCATAAATAATTGGTGAACTGCTGTCTAAACCAAAATTTTGTGGGAACCGACTCATTTATTTATGAAACTGGAGATGAATGAGTGAGGCATAAGTTTAGTGGCAATTCTAATATGATTTCGTGTCATTTAATTTGCAAGGAACCTGCAACCTGTATGAGCACGTATTATCTGTTCTTATTTCTTGTTGTGAGTAATGATGTGTATTGTAGTCCTCGAAGAGATTGTCCACCCAAATCTACTACATGCTTTATAATATTAATTTATTCTATGGCTTTTAAAGGTGTTAGTGTTACAAAATCATGGAGCCTCGGCTTCTATTTTGATGAACCGTTCTCATGGCCAAATGTTTGTTATTTTAGTTGTTCCTCACACAGTCTCTGCTCTTTTGGACAATACAATAGAATGCTTTTACCAGATTGAGAGTTTAGCCTATGTTAAATTTGACCAAACGAATTATTAGCTGATGAGTAAGTTTATTTCATATTATTTTTTGTGACTTTCTGTTCTGTAACCTCTATAGGTACACTGCGTATGGGATCTAAGAGCGAAATTTAATTGAATTTCCATTCTTGATGTGAATTTATGTACAGAATGATCGAAATTTTAGAGCAGCTCAAAGTGAAATTGCCAACAAAATTCAAAGTCAGGCTCTTGAAGACTTAAGTAATGTGTAAGTAATTATACCCTTCGTCGTGTTGCAATCAGGTATATAACCTAAAAGAGCCAAAATAGAGAAAACGAAGAGATGAGAATAGTGCAGGCCGCATAACCTAATATACCTGTGTTAATTAGTGTGTTGATACAACACCTATTTTTCTTTTTCTTTTCTTTTCTATCAGTAGACTAAATTGAAATCTTGTATGTGTTTATTTTTCCTGTGTGTTAAGATCATAGAAAATATTCTTTTACTTTTCAGCTATTCATTACGTATTTGCACATGGTTTCCTCTAGAGGATACAAGATACAGGTATTGTATTTGTGACTTTTTTTTATTAAAATTATTTTGTCAGGGGGTACTAAAACATCCACTCCATCTACGTGGGAAGGCAAAAAAGAGTTATGGCAATTATCTCGTGATTTGTCCTCTACTTGACATGAAGCCGAAGATCATAAAATGCATTTTGTCTTGTTTTGCTAGAATGCCATCTTTAGCTTCTTTGGCTTCACCACTGAACTCTCTGATTATTTTTTCATTATATTTCGTATAACAGTCTTTAGCTTTGTCTTGAACCCTTTGCCTAAACTTCATTAGAATGAATACTATATTATATAAGAGAAAGTAATTATCTCGTGATTTGTCCTCTACTTGACATGAAGCCGAAGATCATAAAATGCATTTTGTCTTGTTTTGCTAGAATGCCATCTTTAGCTTCTTTGGCTTCAATAGCTTCTTAGGTAACTACTTTTCTAAGAATACTAAAAACACTAACAAAATGAGGCTTTCTTGGGCATGTCCCCTTGTTAATTTGTACGGAGATGCTCAAGATAATCAACATATCTATGGAAATAACTTTTGATGTTCTACTCTAGCAAATATGCCAATGCCATAAAGTGGGTTAACTTAATTCATAACACTGCCCAGGGTCTTATATGGTGTCAGGGATTATTTGAATTTACTTCCAGCAACAACTAAAACGCTTTCGCAGAATCTATATGCTGAACTTTGACGTTTCTTTTAAGCTGTCAAGTTGCACTTACACAGTTAAAAGATACATGAAAATGCCTTTGCTTTGTTTCTATGATGGGACACTTAATTCACTTCTGTATTTTTGCAGTAGATGATTTTAGTTGTTTATCTTTACTTTGTATCAATTGTCAGATTAAGCCTTTAAAGAAAAGTCAAATGTAAATGTTTCTTCCAAGTAGTAAGCTTGTGCTTTTATGATTGGCGGAAGGATGCATGATGCTGAAGTTTCAACACTTTGACAAACTCTAATTGCATATGTTTTGGGACTGGAAGAAACTTGTGATGTTGCACTTTCAGGTGCTTGGTTTCTGTCATCCATGCCCTAAACATGAATAATGTATTTTATCGGATGTTCCCATAGGGACTGAATAATGTATATGATGTGACATTTTATGTGGTTGAGTTCTTATAGTACCATTGATGATTCAAGTACAGTGCTTTTGTCTCATGTAGATATTTTATTTATGACATCCAAAACCTTATGAGAATTTTGCAGGAATAACTAGAGTAAATAGCTAGGTCGGGCATATGCCCGTGCACAGCACGGGCACAGTCCATCTAGTATAATAAGTAAAGCTTCTGTACGACGAAGGGTAGTATCGGGATACCATTACTTTTTATGGGCATTTTGGTATTTTGGTTCAATTATATTCTTTTATTTGTTGACACGTGTGTAACACTTTATATTGGTGGGAGACAACTGGATTTCACCTGGTTCCCACAGATTTCATTTTTCACACTCTTCACCTAATTTTGCCATTTCTTCTTGTTCTTTGATAGCCTCTATTTCTTTTGCATTCTCTGTATCATTACTCTGTTTTTGCTTTTCTTTTTGTTTGCTCTCTCTCTGTTGCAGGCTCGCCTCCTTCTGATCAAATACTTGTTGCAGGTGTGTCTTGATTTTAATTTTTCTTGTTGGTTTTCTTTTGTGTTTTTTCCTCTCTTTGATTTATTGGATTTTTTTTTCTTCAAATTTTGTTGTTGTCAGGTATCTGGGTTCTAACATGTTGCATGCGTTGGTTTTCACATCTTTAGGCATTTGCATCTACTTCTAGATGAAAGCTTCCTCCACCTTCTAATGACGCGTGTAGTTGTACTGATCAGGTTATGCTTTTTTTCTCATTCTTTTTAATTCTTTCTTGTTCTATCCCTAATTTTTTCTCCTATATTCATCTGCAATCTTAGTTTGCTCTTCTCGGTTGATGTGGGCCTTCTTCACTACGGCTTGGTGAGCTCATTTTCTTTTATTTCTCTGTTTCCTTTTGTTCCTTTTTTTAAATGCTTCTTTTATCCGAAAATTTTATGGGTTTGCTATAGTTTTTTACTGTGATTTGTGATCGAGTAATGGTACCTAGAGTCATGTTTCTTTACTGATGTTGATTATTTAGATAAAAGGAACTCCTCTTTCTGATTTGGAAAAAGATTGCACTGATTGTCTGAAATTAGAATTTCATTTCTTCTCACCCTCTGTTTGTTGTTTCTCGAACATTATATATGTGAGGACTATGAAATCGCTATTTAATTTTACTGCATGTGGTTCTTTTGCCTATTTGGCTCATCTGTCATTTTAAAATGTTAGTGTTTGGTGTTAGTTTGAGCTCTTACTTCCTCCAGCTCCATGTGTTGTCTTTCTTGCATTTTTCCCCCATACCTTTCCCTTTTGGTTACGCAATTTTGTACATGCATTTCTTTTTTGGCCTTTTTGCATGGATCCTGACTCCTAAGATTACTAATTTTGGATCACATATGTTGTGAGATTAGCTTTTTCATGTTGTTATCTCAGTTTGTGTATCCTTCCATTTCGCTCCAGACCTGTTCGACAATATTCCCCTGTAAAGGGAAGACACACGAGGACATGTCAAAAATTCGGTTTGGATATTCTGAGGCCAAAGGTGGTTATCTCTCAGCGAGACACTGCAAGTGTGCTTTTATTTCTAAATTTGGTTTTACGTCTTTTACCTGCTGAAATTCAAATGTGTTTTCTTATCTGTGGTCAAGTTCTTAACAATTTCCCTTCCAGGAAAATTATCAGTGTCAACGTATTTGTCTTCTATGGGCTCATTTTGCTACAGAAGAGGGGTGCAAACTTCTGCTGGTAAGTTTCTTGATGCTGAAGAGCTATTTCGAAGTTATGTATCATTTCTTTTTTTAAAAGCTATCACTTTGGTTACTATTGAACATAACAAATAACTTCCAAAGAGAAGACGTACATCTAAATTTTGGGCTTTAGACTGCAGACTTAGTGATATTACTTAATTCATTGCTCCTTTCCTGCTAATTAACTTGGGTTTACATCATGAAGATTTTGTGTTACTGCGATTAACACATCAACAACGTAATTTTGAGAGCGGCAAAGACAGAATATTGTGTTGTTCTGAATCAGTATCTCAAATGGTGTAATAAACTTCATTGTTGGAAAACAATTGCTCTTATTTGAACAAAACAGTAAATGTTTTTTGCTTTTCTAATATATCTTATAAGCAAAAGGTTGATCTTAACGTATGATTTACTTTTGGAGCACTTTAAACCTTAATACTTGTAAAGTAAGGCTAAATTTAATTACCGATGTATTTAGCACAAGATAACTATTGGAAAATGTTAGAGCACATGCGTTCAACAAAATTGCTTTGAAAGTGTTCTTTCACCTCTCTTAGCTAGCTGGTGGCTTTGGGGATGGTGGAGTGGGTATATATATCCAATCCTACTGGGCCTTAAGAGTGGTGGAATGGATACTGTCTTAGCTGACAATATAGATCTATTCTTAGCTGTAAATATAGACTATTCTTTTGATGTGCAATATTAGGAGATTAAGGCAATAGAGATCAAGTTTAATTTCTCTGGTTTGCTAGATTCTATCTTATTCTTCTTCCGTGCTCATTATTTTATTGGCACTTTTAACAACTTTCAATTTAATAACTGGTACTATATTTAAGCTCATTAGAAGTAAATTAAAAATGGGAGAAAGAGTAAGGTACTAGCACAAAAACTACATATGATGTTGCAATTGCAAGAAAAATGTTATTTAATGAAGTAAACAATAAGTCATATACTGTAAATCATGGTTATCTGGTTATGACATCACATAGAAGTTTCATATTTTACCTTACAAATTTGAATTTGTAAAACTTCTGAATGTAGGTCTGAATATTTACTACTATATATAAGCCACTAAGGTGTACGAACACATTATCAATAAATTGTACAAAAAGTTATCTGCAATGTACACTATACTTGGGCTTATTTTATTGGTCAATATTAACATGGGAAATATTAAATATACCGTTTAGTTTTTTAAGATTTAAATACAGTGGCGGATCCAGGATTTTAAAGTTATGGGTGCTCGCCGATAAAAACTTCAAAAGAAGAGGAAAAAACGAATTTACATGTGGGTGCTCGCTCAATATTTATCTAAATATTTTTACACTTATCTATATAAATTTATTAATATGATCAAAGTTAATGGTGCTTAAGCACCCACAACTTCCTATGTGCATCCGCCATTGTTTAAATATAATTGTAAATACTACTTTAAAGATGGGAGCATAATTCCACGATTTCATGATCCAATGATTATCTCAATTGTACATTCTTCACTTTGCAAGATAAAAATATAAAGCACTTTTTAATACTACAGGTTCAGGAAAAAAAAGCAAAGAAGGTAGGTAGTGAAACTTCATTGCTTCGGAGGCTAAAATAACCCTAGCAGCCATTTGAATTCGACTACCACAATTACCAACTGAATTCTATGATGGTCTCATTTTAAAGAAAGTTGGTAACAAAATTGCTAGATTATTAAAGATTGATTCATGTACTTCCTCTACCCTTAGAGGAAGATATGCTAGGCTTTGCATTGAAATTCCTCTTGAAGTGCCACTAACCCCCTATGTTTTCATTGGCCAGCACAAGCAAGAAATCTACTATGAGGGAGTTAATTTTTTATGCAAAAAGTGTGGCAGACTAGGGCATTCAATGGACAATTGCCAATACACAATGTCAAGGACCACCCCTACCAGTTCACAGGGAGTTCAAGCCAGCAACCAATCAACCAATCCAAAGACTTGGTTGGATTTCAAGATAGAATGGAAGATGTCTCTCTCCTGCCCAAGGAAAGCAACTGGCAAACCGTGTGAAGGCGAAAAAAACCCAATCACTCCCCAAGAAGAAAAAAACCAATCACAATACAAAGGTGATACACTCCATATCTGGTAAGTTGCATGACCCAATCACCCCCCCCCCCCCCCCTCCAGGTAACACTCCTTCTCTTTCATTAAATGAGAATTCAACAGGAAGATTTCTTGTTAATAGTAATAACACTTTTGTTGCACCTCCTAAAATCCATGGAAAAAATCAATTAGCTAGGATGCAATGAACAATTACCTCAACCATGTGTGGATGAACAACATCCTTCACCCTCTTGCTCCATCGATGAACTTAAGTCAAGCTCAAGCCATGAGAAATCAGTGGAGCTTATGTTAATAGGAGCGCCTCGATCTCCTATTAACTGCTTCCCTTAAGTTCATTTCTGCTATTTTGGTTTGCCGGGACATTCGGTGTTGAGTTTCGAAGAGTTTTGGGACACTTAGTCCCTAAATGAGAGCTTAAGTGTTGAAAAGTGGTCCATAGTCAGAACAGTGTGAAGGCGACCTCAGAATAGAAATTCGATGGTTCCGTTAGCTTTGTTAGGTGATTTCGGGGTTGGAAGCGTGTTCGAAATGTAATTTGGAAGTTCGTAGCTCATATAGGCTTGAAATGCCGAAGTTTGAATTTTTGAAGTTTCCGGTCCGATAGTGAGTTTTTGATCCGAGGGTCGGATTGGAATTCCGAAAGCTGTAATAGCTCCGTCATGTCATTTGGGATGTGCGCGCAAAATTTCAGGTCATTCGGACGTGTTTTGGTTAGGTTTTTGATCGAAAGCGTGTTTTGATGAAAATTGAAGTTCTTAGGCTCAAATCCGTGTTTAATTCGAGTTTCCGGCGTTGTCTTAGGTGGTTTAAGGATTGGTACAAGTTCGAATGAGGTATTAGGTGTTATTGGTGCTTTTGGTTGAGGTCCTGGGGGCCTCGGGATGATTTCGGGTGGTTAACGGAGAAATTTTTGAAGTGTTGCAGCGCTGGTTTTTTTTCTCTTCTGGTATTATCGCTTCTGCGGCTTGGGAATCGCAAAAGCGAAGCCGCAGAAGCGGCCACTCAATCGCAAGAGCGAATTTGGGCTCCCTTAGCTTTTTCGGCAGGTGCGGAGGATCTACCGCAGATGCGGTTACGTACCTGCGAGGCTTCTATCGCAGATGCGGCCCTGAGTCTTTAGTGAGACACCGCAGAAGCGGTAAGTATTTCGCAGAAGCGGCAACCGCGGGTGCGGTTTAAGACCGCAGAAGCGGGACCCTAGATTTTTAATGAATACCGCATAAGCGGCTCGTTTTCCGCATAAGCGGGACCGCAGAAGCGGTCCCTTGTCCGCAGAAGCGGAAATGCCTGTGCAGATATAGAAATTTCGAGGGTTAGATTTCATAAGTTAGAAAAATCAAATTGAGCTCGGGGAAGGGCGATTTTCAGAGGGTTTTGAGGAGAAGACTATTGGGTAACATTTCTTTAATCCCTTCTAGTTATATTTCATCATTTTGTAGTTAAATCCATCATTAAAAATTCGAATTTGGGATCAAAAATTGGAAAATTGGGTGAAACTTCATAGGCTAAACTATTGGGTTTTTGAGTGGGTGTTTGACCTCCGATTTGGGAGATTTTTATATGGTTAGACTCGTGAGAGTACGAGGGTTCCAAAAATGTGAAAATTATTCGATTCTGAGGCGTTGGTTTGAAGGGCATTTTGGTCATTTTACCTAATTTCACGCCGTAGCTTTGAATTAAATATCAAAACTAGTTGTTTGCGATGTTATTTACGATATGTAATTGAATTGAATAGATTTGGGCCATTTGGAGTCGGATACTCGTGGCAAGGGCGTGATTTCTAGTTGATTTTGAGCCGGTTCGAGGTAAGTGGCTTGTCTAACCTTGTGTGGGGGACATCTTCCCCTTAGGACATGATATTTGATATTTGAAAGCTTCGTACGTGAGTTGACGAGCGCGTACTTGATCTGATTGTTGGAAATCCGTTATTACTTGAAGTATTTAAATTGAGTTTTTCTTGCTTACCAGTTTATTTGAATTGTAAGTTTATCCTATGCTAGTTTAGAGAAGCATGTTTAGTTGACTTACTTGCTTAAGTGCTTAAACTGTCTTGTTGTACTCCGTGGGGCATGTTAGGCTAGGATTTCTATTACTTGTTCTGAGTTTAGCATTTATCCTATGTGTTGGGTTGTTCTTGTGTGTTTTAAATTGGGACTACGGGACGGCATCCCTGGAGATCCCCCCCTGTAGGTGCGGGATACGAAAAGATCCCCGGCATATGTAAATGTAAGATTTGAGGATACCAAGAGATCCTCGGGATACTAAGAGATCCCTCGTGTAAATGATGAGGATACCAAGAGATCCTCGGGATACCAAGAGATCCCCGGCTATTACTTCTTGTTGTGAGCAGTACTCTTTATATTGTTTTGTTTCTGCTTCCTATTACTCTTTCCCTTATTTATCCTGTTTAGATTCTTGCTGTAGACTTTATCTATACTGTTTCCCTTAACCTATTATATATTGTGTTTTACCTCAGTAGGGCCCTGACCTTTCCTCGTCACTACCCAACCGAGGTCAGGCTTGGCACTTACTGAGTACCGCTGTGGTGTACTCATGCCCTTCCTGCGCATGTTTTTCATGTGCAGATCCAGGTACCTCCACTCAGGCGCACTATCCTTGAGGCGAGGAGAGTTATGGAGACTTCAAGGTATATCTGCAGCGTCCGTAGACCGATGAGTCTCCTTCCTTATTCTATCTGTAGTGTTTAGATTCTATCATACTTTTGATGTAGACATTCTGGAGATTAGAGCATCTACAGTATTTCTATTAGCCTGTGGTTCCCGTGAGTTTCCGGGTTTTGGGATTGAGTTTTAGACTTCCGCATTTCTTTTGAGTTGTATAGGCCGAGCGGCCTCATATGCAGTTATTATTTTAATATGTCTAGCTTTATTTAACCATTTCGCGAGTTAGGTTGTTATTTCCGCATTGTTAGGCTTACCTAGTTGTAGGAACTAGGTGCCATCACGACATGTTCATGGAGGGTGAACTGGGGTCGTGACAAGTTGGTATCAGAGCTCTAAGTTCATAGGAGTCACGGAACACAGGCCAGTTTATTAGAGTCTCGCTGATCGGTACGAAGACGTCTGTACTTATTTACGAGAGGCTATGTAACTGTTTAGGAAAAATCTTCATTTCATTGAATTCCTTGTCGTGCGATATTTTTGGACATCTATTCTAAACTTCTGACTTCTATTCTCTCACAGATGGTGAGGACACGTGCTACTCGAGATGATCAGGCACCCGCGCCCCCGACTGCAGCCGTCAGAGGCCGAGGCCGGGGGAGAGGTCGAGGACCCGCACGTGGTGCCGCCAGAGCACCTGCGCGAGCTGCCGCCGAGATACCACCAGCAGATCCAGCCGGAGCCCAGGCACCTGGCACACCTACTACTGCCACTACTACTCCAGCGCTCCAGGAGACTTTCGCTCAGTTCATGAGCATGTACACCACCTTGGCTCAGGCAGGGTTGCTTCCCCTTGCTGCAGCCACATCCCAGGTCGGGGGAGGAGTACAGACTCCCGCCGTCCGCACTCCTGAGCAGCGAGTGCAAGTTGAGCAGGCTCCCGATATTATTCCTGCACTGCCTGCAACGCCATTTCAGCCCGAGGATGGGTCAGCTGCTTCAGAGGACGAGCAGCGGAGACTTGAGAGGTTCAAGAAGTATGATCCCCCAGTATTCAGTGGATTAGCATCAGATGATGCCTTCAGATTTCTAGAGGAGTGTCACCGTATTCTTCGCACTATGGGCATAGTGGAGTCCAGCGGGGTTTCTTTCACTGCTTTTCAGCTTCGGGGGGCCGCCTAAGATTGGTGGCGCACTTATGAGATAGACAGTCCAGTCGAGGCTGCTTCACTGACTTGGACCCAGTTCTCGGATATGTTTATAAGAGAGTTTGTTCCCCAGAGTCTTAGAGACGCATGGCGCGCAGTGTTTGAGCATTTGCGCCAGGGTGCTATGACCGTTTCGAAGTATGCCATCCGTTATACCAGATTGGCCAGGCATGCACCGGCCTTGGTTGCTACAGTTCGAGAGAGAGTTCGCAGGTTCATTGAGGGTCTTATTCCACCCATCAGATCTAGCATGGCTCGAGAGTTGGAGATGGACATTCCTTATGAGCAGGTAGTGAGCATTGCTAGGAGGATTGAGGGTATGCTCGCCAGGGAGCGAGGGGAGAGGGAGGCCAAGAGGTCTCGAGAGTCAAGTCACTACTCTGGTGCCCGTACCCCATCAGCAGGTCGTTATGGTAGAGGTTATGCGGGTCGCCCTATCCATTCAGCTCTTCCAGCAGCCAGCAGTGCTCCAGCTCCGCCTATACCTCAGGAGCCTTACTATGCACCCCCAGTTTCTAGCGCGCCTCCTGCGCGGGGCGCATTCAGAGGTCAGTCCAACAGGTCTGGCCCGAGCTAGTCACAGCCACCGTGCCCTCCCAGAGCTTGTTTTGAGTGTGGGGATACCCGCCACGTGGTGAGGGATTGCCCTAGCCTTGGGAGGAGTGCGCCCCACA